CTATGTTCATTGTTGTTGTTAAAATTCGGAAGAAATGTACTTTTTTGGTATTTCAACTTTTGATCACAGTGAAATCCTGTACCAATAAGTTCCTGAAGAAATTTCAGAAAATAAAAGTTTCTCAAAAATGACTAAACATACACTCATTTGCCTTAAAATACTTAGCTATATCTATTTTTGTGGTCAAAATTCAGAGAAAATATACTTTTTTGGTTTTTCAACTTTTGATCACAGTGAAATCCTGTACCAATAAGTTCCTGAAGAAATTTCAGAAAATAAAAGTTTCTCAAAAATGATTAAAAATACACTCATTTGTCTTAAAATACTTAGCTATGTCAATTTCTCTGATTAAAATTCTGAAAAAAATATATGCTTTTTTCGTTTTTCAACTTTTGATTGCAGTGAAATGCTTTACTAATAAGTTCCTGAACAAATCTCCAAAAATAAAAGTTTCTCAAAAATTACTACAAATACACTCATTTGCCTTGAAATACTTAGCTATGTCCATTTCTCTGATTAAAATTCTGAAAAAAATATATGCTTTTTTTGTTTTTCAACTTTTGATTGCAGTGAAATGCTTTACTAATAAGTTCCTGAACAAATCTCCGAAAACAAAGGTTTTTCAAAAAATGACTAAAAATACACTCATTTGCCATAAAATACTTAGCTATGTCAATTTCTCTGATTAAAATTCTGAAAAAAATATATGCTTGTTTTGTTTTTCAACTTTTGATTGCAGTGAAATCCTATACCAATAAGTTCCTGATCAAATCTCCGAAAATAAAAGGTTCTCAAAAGTGACTAAAAATACACTAATTTGCCTTGAAATACTTAGTTATGTCCATTTCTGTGGTTAAAATCCAAAAAAAATATATGCTTTTTTGGTTTTTCAACTTTTGATTTCAGTGAAATCCTATAACAATAAGTTCCTGATCAAATCTCCAAAAATAAGTTTCTCAAAAATGACTAAACATTCACTCATTTGTCTTAAAATACTTAGCTATGTATTCTAACACCCATACACACATACAAACACACACAGACACACACACAAGGAACACAAGGAACACACACACAGACACACATACATGCACACACACAGACACACAAAGACACATAGACACTCTGTCTCACACACACAGACATACACAGACACACACACCTAGACACACAAAGACACAAAGACACACAGACACACACACACGCACGGACACGTTGAATTTGAACTTTTATCATTTTATTATTTTCAATTACAGTAATTCATATCTACAGCCCTGAACCAGAAACATACATTTTTACTATAAGAAAGCAAACTCTACATAAAATAAGGAAGAGACAATTATTAAATTAAAAATTGTTTACACACCACCACAACAACATCCCTTCATTAGTCAAGTGTAAGGTCTGAGAAAAGTTTAGGACTAGTTCAGGTTTTTTGATTGTTGTACTGTTCGACTGTTCTGTGGACACAACAGCATCTTCCCAACAGGAACTTGAAGAAACAAGTGAGGTTGCAGGCTCAGCAAATAAAGTTCTACCTACAGATGGCTCGATTTCCTAAGCAATAATGTCTATAGTGCTTTTACTACACCCATAAAAACCTGAACTACCCATCAAAGGCCTCTACTTCACGTCAGTTTTAGACCCTTCACCCTTCACCCTTCACCTCACATGTAGTGTTGCAGCTACTGTAGTCAAGTCCTGGTTCAGCCTGTGACGTCCTCTGATCCAGTGGTGGCTTTTTGCAGCAGCTGGAGCATGATAGGATAAATAGGAGCAAATTCCTTTTCTTGCCGGGTCCTCACCGACTGCACATAGGCCTCCAGAGAACCCCTGAGAGGTCAGGAAAAAGAACAGCGTTGAGTCATCTACGTCAAATCAATCTTGTTTTTTTTTTTATTTAATCAAGGAACAGATTTGTAAAAATTGGGTAAATAAAAAGCACAGCAGTGACATTTAGTCACACATCTATTTATTATACGCTGCATAATCCTCAGGTTTGAGTGTGGTTGTAATAAATGTATAAATTAGCCAATTAGATAAAACTATTGGTATTTGACTGCTTTTGAAATATATACATGCACATATATATACATATAAACACACCTATATACATATACACATAAATACATACACTATGTATATCTATGTATACACGTATTCTTCGGACCATAAGGCGCACAATCAATCAATGCGAATATTTGTTACGCCCTGTTAACACCAATATTTAGTGGTTGGAATTCTGTGGTTAATCCACCAGAAATGATGACAAGCCCCGCATTAGTTTGCTTCACTTGGCTTTTGACAATATCGGTGAGGTGGGCGCGAATGGATCAATAGGGACGGAGATTTGTGAAAAAGAGTAGTGACCTAAGTTGGACACAGGAGGACGCTGTTGTTGTTCGCCCCTCCAGAGTCAAGCGGTTGTCACTATTTTTGTTCTGTATGGTCACCGTATTTTACAGTGTTTTGACGCTGTTCCGTGCGGAAGTTGTTTTGCAGAGAGAGTGTGTGTTTTTCCTGTATCGATAAAAAGGGAGAAATAAAAAGAGTTCTTGACCACGTAAAGAACAGCCATGTGTCTGAGTCGTCCTGCATCGCACCATACAAAAACACAACTCAGAGTCTCTGGGTGTTTGGAGGAATGACGCTACGTTGCATGGATTTACACAACCGTACTGTAACAATTGTTGTTGAGCATCTTCTAATTGTGATAACAGTTAAACATCATTGTTGGCTCCCAGTGTGCTTCAGTTGTGTGACATCATGTGTGATGCGCTGTGTGGTTTGGCTTTATAAAATCGGTTCGAGCTACCAGAAGTCGCAACCAGAAGTAATACATTTCGGGTTATTATATATATACATATACATATATATATACACATATATATATATATATATATATATATAT